GTGTGTGTGTGTGTGTGTGTGTGTGTGTGTGTGTGTGTGTGTGTGTGTGTGCGTGTGTGTGTGTGTGTGTGTGTGTGTGTGAAAATGAATGTGTGCGTTTAGGGGTTTGAATGTGTGAGTGTGTGTGATATGAACGTGTGTTCGTGTTCAAGTCCACTCTCATGGCAACCCGGCATCAAAACTCAGACCCGCTGCTTCAAATCATCACCACGTACACGCATCCTCACACCCACTAGAAGCAAGCTTCGCATGCACGTGCTCACCAGTGCCCCGGCCGCCACGCCTGCACAATTGCGCCCGTTGCGTTGACATATGCGTGCGAGTGCGGCAGCAGCTGCTGGGAATACTGCAGACCGGCCGGAATTCGATACGTAAACGCACCGCCGCCACTCGTGTTGCTGTTGTGGGGGCGAGTGGTTTGTGTGCGTGTGTATGTGTGATGTGTAGAATGGTGAGCACATGGGTTGCACGCATTTGATGGTGAGATTCACCAACATACAAACATATCAAACACACACACACACACACATGGACACACACATGAAACACGCACGCACACACACATGGACACACATCAAACAAACACACACACATACAACAAAGTGTGCGCGAGTGTTGCAACTGACGTGCTGCACCAATATCCCTCTGGTGGTGTGAAGGAGTCGCATGTGCCGCCAATGCCCAGCACAAAGTGCTGGAATTCGTCCTGTTCAAACGAGCGGTTGGGCGTATCAACCTGTCAAAAGGCGCCAAGTCGCCGGATGCGTGAGAGGAATGGAGGATGAGAGAGGTAAACTGAAGAGAGAGAGGAGGGGGGGGGCCTTAAGCTCACACACGAAGCAAACTCGAACCATACTCGAACAAAACCCAACGCAAACCAAACCAAACAGAACACGCGCGTACCACGATGTTGGTCTGGGGCAAGTCCCCATGCAAGCGGCCAAACCATGCCGTGTGCGCACTGATCCACCCCTTTGGAAACAGGTCGCGTTCGGGGTTTGCGTCGGGGTAGCGTGCACGGATGGCTCGCTCGCCATTGACGCGCAGGCCCGTGATGGCGGCGGGCGGATGCGGAAGCGCCGCTGCCCAGATGTTGCGCTGCCAGTAGGGTGGTTGCATTGAGGAGAAGGAGGAGGAGGAGGTGGTGGTGGTGGTGGTGGATGGGGTGGATGGGGTGAAGGGGAGGGTGGGACGCAAATGCAGTGAGTGTGTCAAATGCAGTGAGTGTGAGTCATGCAGAGTGTGTTCAACTGAGTCTGTGTATCCTTAAGCGAGTGGATTGTCGAACGTGAAATTGAGGCGATATGTGCTGGCAGCAGCAGGCAAAGATGAGTGCATGACATGCTTGGAATTCTATCCATGACAATATCCCTTGCAATACACTTCACTCCCTCACGTGACTGGCCCCACTGCCTCATCGATGTGCTGTACGCGTGTCCAGAGACGTGCCCCGTCTGCTGCACAGTCGACCACACGCCGTCCGTGCGGAAGAAGCAGTCCAGCTCGTACCCTTTCTGAGCACCCAAACACACCGCGCGAGCGTACATGGACGTGAGTAGGGACATGTTGCGTGTGCATGTGTGCGTTCGTGTGTGCGCGTGAAAAACGTCTGCGCTTGTAAGACTTCTATTCCACGTCAAACGCACACACACGCACACACATCCACACACGCACACAGAGTCGTACAAGAACAAGGCACCTGCTTGCTGTCATGCCATGTCCAGACGTTGCACCGTGGATGGTTCTTGCAGGCGGCCTCGCACGCCTCCGGCGTCGCCGTCTTGTTGTAGATGTACACGGGTTGGGCTGCGCGGCATGCATGCAGGCAAGAGATGCGGAACGGTATGAGGGCGCACGGAGAAGCGGTGTTGATGGCGGCAACGCAGACCAAACAGAGGGCACGGCACGTCGCTGGTGGATGTTGATAGCGCAACACCACCGTTGACAAATGCCATAAGCAGCAGTAGAAGTAGCAGCAGCAGTAGCAACAACAACAACAACAACAACAACAACAACAACAACAACAACAACAGCAGCAACAACAACAACAACAACAACAACAACAACAACAACAACAACAACAACAACAACAACAACAACAACAACAACAACAACAACAACAACAACAACATCATCATCATCATCATCATCATCATGCCACTGCGATTTGTGGTGCGTACATGCGTTGTGGGTTGAAGGGGCGCCATACACGGCGTTTGTGTTCTGGTGCACGTCCCATGTGACATTGCCTCGCGTCACGTTGAACGGCAGCCACTGCAGCTCGCCAAGGTGAAGAGCTCCCGTGATGATGGCCTTATTGGGGTCGCGTGGGACGAGGGGAGACGTTGTTGTCAGAATGGAGTGAGGAACACATCGTCGTCGCCAAAGTTCATGTCACACACACACACACACACACACACACACACACACTCTCTCTCTCTCTCTCTCTCTCTCTCTCTCTCTCTCTCTCTCTCTCTCCTCTCCCTCTCTCCCTCCCGTCTCTCTCTCCCTCTCACTGCACCTTTTCGCCGTTGTAGTTCTGCAAGGTGAGGCCGCTGTCGCTGCTGCCAAGATGGAGGGTGCTGTCGAAGCGGTGCACGCCACCACGCAGCGCCACCGTCCCCGGCTGCAGTGACGCCGGCAGCCCGCGTGTCGCCTCAACAGCTCGAAGCACAGTGCGGAACGGTTTGGCCAACGTTCCTGTCACAGTGCAACAAATGCATACATGTTAATAACAAAACGTCGCATCTCAGTATTGATTTGCACAGCAAAGGCATGTGGGTCAACAACCGCAGCCATGGTTGATGTGCACGTGACACGCCGCTGATTTGACATGAGAGCGAAAAAGCATAGACGAACGTCACACCTGGGTTGGAGTCGCTCCCGGCGACTGCGTCAACATAGAAGGTGTTGGCATCCGAGGCGTGCGCTGGAAGCGAAAACGTGGACAAGGAAGATGGTTCGGCTGGCCTGAACCCACCCAAGCTCTCGCCACATTGCTCCAGCTAACAAAACAGGTAGCATCGTGCGGTTGTTACGTGTGTTTACGTGTGTGTACAGGTGTGGAGTGAGGATGTGTAAATGTGTGGATGTGTGGATGAATGGATGTGTGTGGATGTGCGCGCGCATACTCGTGTGAACGTTTGGAAGTTGCGTGACGCACGGAGAGCAAGAGTGAATCGTGCATCGCTTCTGCTTGATGGTGTCTCTCGTCGTGTACCTGCAGCGCGTCAAAGACGGCGCGCAGGTTGGGCTGACTCGGCTGCAGCTTCTGCGCGTATTTCCAGGCGGCCTTGCGCCAGTCGCACTCAAAATCGGGGTCCACGCCACGCGGGGGCAAGCGATCGTACGGGTTCTGCGAGCATGCAAGAGAGGGTCGATGACAGATTCAGTGTTGTAGTGGCTGCGGTCGTGTTTGTGGTCAAAGTTTGCTGTTTGCATTCGTTTTGCCTGCCAATATGCTTGTTGTCACGACCACAAACACCAAGCACGAACAATGACAGCACTGCAGCCATCAACACCAACACAAGCACAAACACATAAACACAAACAAACACACACCCACACGCACCGTGGGATCAAAGAGGCCCATGGGCCCGACAGAAGAGGCGTGCTCAATCCATTCTGCACTTGACTTGTTCCCTTGCGTTGCAGCGTCTGCAGCATCTGCAGCGCTGCTGACTGTGACCACCACCAACAAACCCCCAAACAGCACTGCTGCCACAGTGCCACTGACCACAACCCTGCTTCTCATCATCGTCCTGATCCTTTGGGGAGGGGTGAAGTCCTGAATATTTGCGGTGTCACCATCAATATTCCAGCCAAAGACGACACAGTCACACACACGCTTTGCTCTTGCACGTCCTTTCACCGCACGACGTCTCACAAGCAAGACAGCGCCACTCACGACACAAACAACAGACAGCAACAACAACAGCAACAAGAGCAAGCACCTGAACGACAACAGACGGCAGCAGCATCGGAGATGTCGTCTCGAAAGGGCGCGCGAACGGTCGTCGAAGAAGAGGATGATGATGGCCAGGAAGAGGATGAGGTTGAGGAAGAATGGCTGGAAGAGGACGAGATTGAGACGGAGGGTGCGAGGCGATTCCATGGCCAGGGCCGGACACCTGCTGGCGTCAGCGATAGTGGAGACACCTCGCTCGACTTTCGCTTCCTCGCAGGCCCACTCTCCACCACCTTCTCCGTTGGCACCCTCACGGGAGCGTGAGTACATTTCCATTTTGTGCACGATTGCTTTTGTGTGTTTGTGTGTGCGGTGCATGTGTGTGTGTGTTTGTGTGTGTGTGTGTTTGTGTGTGTGCGTGTGTGTCTGTCTATCTGTCTGTCTGACTGACTGACTGTCCGCCTGTCTGTCTCTCTGTCTCTCTGTCTCTCTGTCTCTCCCTCTCTGTCTGTCTCTCTGTCTCTGTGCTCGTGAACATGTACGCACACACACGCATGTGCACGACGTGTGTTTCATTTCAAAGCACAGATCATATTCCCCATATTTCACCGCGTGTGTTTCGCTTCTTAATCTCCCCATCTTCCATGTGCATAGGTGTGCTGCATCTGCCGTGAAGAAAGTGGGGCGCATGTCTGCAGGCTTCATTGGCGCAGGCTTTCTCGCTCTGCAGCTCCTCGCATACAAGGTGTGCGTGTGTGTGTTTGGTTTGTTTGCTTTCCGTTTTCATTGATGGGCCCAGCTTGGGCGTGCGTGAGAGCCTGCTGACTGTTGCTGCATGCACATGCTGCTGTTGTTCACACACGGATGTATGCACTGATGCTGCACTGGTAGGGGTACGTAACTGTGCACTGGGACAAAATTGAGCACGATGTCACATCCATCCTCGACCGCGATGGCGACGGCAAAGTGTCGCAAGCCGATCTCCAATACTGGCAGCACCAGGTGACCCTAGCAGCTCAGCTTCGCCCTGCTCGTATCCACTTTGCTTGCGTCTGTTCGAGCTGTGATTTGTGCGTCGCCCTTGCCTCATCTGTCCATGTACCTGTCGTACACGTGCTCGTGTGCTCGTGTGCTCGTGTGCTCATGTGTTCGTGTGCTCGTGTGCTCGTGTGCGTGTGTGCGTTTATTACCTCTTGATTTGATGTGCTAGCTGGCGAAGATGGCGACGTTCCAGCTGCCGGCGTCCATGGCCGGCTTTGGTGTCGGATTCGGCCTCGGCCTCAAGTGCGTCGTGTTGTGTTGTGTTGTGTTGTGTTGTGTTGTGTCGCTGTGCTGTGGTGTGTCATCATGCCGTGTGCGCACGTTGTTCACGCTGTGCCTTCAATATGCGTTTCCTGTCGGCACGTCCCGCACACACACGCACACACATCTCGCATATCATGTGTTGCTCATTATCGCTCGTTCACACACGTTTCCAACCCTTCTCCCTTCTCCAGGTACCTGTGAGCAACAGACTGCAGCGTGACTCGCAGCATTGTGCTGGCTGTACACCGTCTCGTCTTCGACCTTCACACACGTTACCGGCTCAACCAATCCAATCTTGCTTCTTCACTCAACGGAATTCACTTGTATGCATGACTGCATGGCTTACATTGTGCTGATTTCTACCCATGTCGTTGTTCGTGTTGTTGTTCTAATGGATGGTCCAACTTATCAAGCATAAAGCACAACAATGTTCCAAAACACACGCGTCAAGCACAACATACACAAAGACACAAACACAAAACAGCAAGCGAGCGGCAAACACACACACACACACACACACACACACACACACACACGAGCTAGCGCGTGCTCCGAGCGTTGTTGTTGTTGTTGGTGCGGTGGTTGCGTTTGGCGCCATTGCCCTGCCCGCCCTTGTTGCTGTACGCGTTGAGAGCGCTCTGCAAAAAGTTGAGGCAGGGGGATAGAGGAGAAGGTGTTGACAGTCACACAAATGGTGAACGGAAGCAGGGATAAATGAACACCAACGCGATACTGCACACACACACACACATACACACACACACACGCACACGCACACGCACACGCACACGCACACGCACACACAGAGGCACCAAACCAACCTGGAATGCCTTGTCTGTCGGTGTCTTGAGGACCTCGCGAATGGCCATGGTTGCGTAGCAGGACACGTCGAGTGTGAAGCCGAGAATCAGCGCACGGTACTGTCCTGTGGGCACATTCGGGTCAGGCAGCGTCTTGCCCTCAGCAGCAGCCTGCGACAGCCGGGATGTGATTGCACGTGAGCGCATGTGCATGCAGGCAAGGGTTGCATGTGTGCGTGTGCGTGTGCGTGCGTTGAGTATGCATGCGTGTTGCTGCACCAACATCCTGCTCAATCACCCTCCCCAACCATGACTTGTCGAGCAGCAACGATGATGCGTGTGTTCACCTGCAAGCGGTCGATGGGCGACTGCAGCAGCGGCACCGTCACGTCATCGTAACGCATCGTCCGCCTGAGCAGCAACGAAGACACCAGCAGCAGCAACAACAGCAGCACCAGCACCAGCAGCAATAATAGCAGAAACAGTAGCAACAGTAACAGCGAAAAAGCAGTAACAAGCGGCAATACACAATGAGAAGAACACAAGTCACACATGGTGTTGTGGAGGGTGTGCAAGTTGGGGTGGGCGGGCATGAGGTGCCAGCAAGCGAGCGCATGCAAGCAAGTGAGCGCAAGCAAGTAAGCGAGACCAGGCTGCATGCAGGGTTGATCTGACCATGTGACGTTGCCTGGCAGCGTGATCATGTAACGCAAGTCCCCATTCAGCACACACTCCCTGCAGGCAACACGACATGACGTGAGCAGAGGTGGCATGGGCAAGGGGAGTCGGCGGTGACACAGGACAGAGAAGGCCGTGTATGCCTGCAAGCAACCATCATCCTCCACCACTGCCACCGCCAGCACCACCACATGGCCACGTTGGGTGGCGGGGCGCGTACAGGATGTAGTGCGGCAGGTTGTCAATGTCAAGCCCGTCCTCCGCCAGAACAGACGCGTACATGTCCCGAACTGGCGCGATGATGGCAGAGGTGGTGGCAATGGTGATGGTGATGGTGATGGTGATGATGATGGTGGTGGTGGTGGTGGTGGTGATGGTGATGGCAGAGGTGGTGGCAATGGTGGTGGTGATGGTGGTGGCAATGGTGATGGTGATGGTGGTGGTGGTGGTGATGGTGATGGTGATGTTGTGACAGTGGTGGTGGCAATAGTGGTGACGATGTTGTGACATTGGTGGTGAACGAAGCGATGTGACAGAAACGTCAGTAGCAGTCTCCAAGTCCATGGTACGCATGGTACGCGGCGCCATGTTCCAACACGACCAGCGCGACCACCACCGCCGGCTGCCTCACCTTCGTTGTTGGGATATGGCACGTCCTGGCCCGGGATGGGCATGAGCACATCGTGGATCGTGTACTTGTGCAGCGTCTCCGCCGTCACCGTCACGGCATGCTGTTGGTGGTGGTGATGGTGATGGTGATGGTGATGGTTATGATGGTGTGTGTGTGTGTGCAAATGTGTGTGTGGTGGT